TATTGTTAGACATAAATATTGTTAAAAGCTTTTTGGTATGAAAACTAAAAACAAAAAAGTCTGTGACACTAAAACTAAACTAGGTTCCTGATAGATCAGATAAAATCGTAAAAGCCCTCTCTTTCATACTACTTTTTCGATACATAATCAAATGGTTTAAAAAACAAAAATTTGTATATCGAATTCGAAGTACCATGCTATTATTACTTAAGTATTTTTATGGCGAAGGTATAGTCTTCATATATATTCTCAAATAAAAGAATCATTGGCGCCAAGCGTGAGGGAATGCTAGACGTTTGGTAATTTCTCCTCCTGCCAAAAGAAAGGATCCCATTGAAGCGGCTAATGCCATACATATTGTCTGTATATCTGGTTGTACATATTGCATAGTATCATAAATAGCCATTCCGGGTATTATCCACCCACCCGGAGAATTTATAAACAGATACACATCTCTGTTATATTTTTCTATACCGAGAAATAGCAGAATGCCAATAAGTTGATTCGATAGTTCACTATCGACCTCTTGGCCTAAAAAAAGTAATCTTTCTCGATAAAGTCGATTGATTAGGATTTAATCTTATACCTTAAGAGCCGTACATGCACCTTTTGATGCATACGGTTCACTAAAAATCATATAAACAAAAAGGAATCAATGTGTCTATTTCAACCCTCTTTCCCTTTTCATAATGGACTCTTTCGAATTTTTAACGAAAAAAAATGTACTAAATTTATTGAACTAACTTCTCATTGATGTATTGCTTTCATCGAGATCGAACACAAATCACAATGTAATTTTCTTGTTTCTGAATGGACTTCCTCAATTCTTTTAGGTTTCTTTTCTACTCTAAGTAAGGATAAGGATCTGCCCGATTTTTATTTGCACATATAGGACAAATATTACAATACCATGTCTTTTTGTTACGACTTATCTCTTCTCTGAATTTATTATTTCATTTTTTCTGTAAAATATATGATATGATAGAAGTAGTAATTGTGGATATATTACCAATTGGTTTTTTTCTAAACAGAGTCTGGATACTTCGTTTTATTGGTCCAAGCAAGCCAACCATAAATTATTTTGAATTTCGAATAGTAATCTGGATACCCCCTCCAAAAAATAAAAAATCGATCGAATTGCACTTCATTACACTTCACGCTCCAAATTTTGGATGATTCAATCATTCTTTTTTGGTGGTGAAAGAGAGGATATCTCAATCGGGGGGGGAGAACGGGGAAATCCCGTATGACCAAATATATCTGACAAGTCGCACTATATATCAATCCAAGATGCATTTCCTTCTCCAGGACTTCGAAAGGTTACTTTTGGAACACCAATGGGCATAAAATAGAGAAAAAAAGAAAATAAAATAATATATTTAACTTTAGTGTGGAAACGTAAGAATGGGTTTATTGTGTTAAAAACAATTTGCTTTTATTATATTGTATTTTTTATAAATCATAAAAAAGGGAAGAGTAAAGATAAAGATAGAGTAAAGTTGTTACGAATGGGTCCTTGGGTGATAAACGAATATGTCTGCATTTACATATTTAAATACTCATAGAGAAAATTGTCAACCCCCCCTTCCCACCATTGCGTATTCTTACTTATCGGGTATAGAATAGATCTGCTTCTTCTTGTTCCTACAAATATGATTGTTCCACTATTACTAAACACTATTACTAAAAAACTAGAACAAACATTAATTCTTTCTCCGAGATAATCTACTAAAAGGTAAAAGGTGAGAATCCATAGTATAGTTTTTTCCAGTGCAATAAAGTTACATAGTGTCTATTTTTTGTTGATATAAGGGGTATTTTCATGGGTTTACCTTGGTATCGTGTTCATACTGTTGTATTAAATGATCCAGGCCGTTTGCTTTCTGTTCACATAATGCATACAGCTCTGGTTGCTGGTTGGGCTGGTTCGATGGCTCTATATGAATTAGCAGTTTTTGATCCCTCTGACCCTGTTCTTGATCCAATGTGGAGACA